AATGCATACTTGCATACTTGCCCTTGAGGTGGTAAGAGGGACAGAGTAAGATTGATATAGATAGATAGATAGATAGATAGAGAGAGAGAGAGAGAGAGAGAGAGAGAGAGAGAAAGAGAGAAAGAGATAGAAAGAGAGAAATAAAATAAAATAGAATTTTTATTTTTATGAGTATACCGACCATCACTAGCAGTAGTGCCTGTGACAGTAATATAAAGACAATTGATTGCATTTGTACTCGGGTATACGCTGGAGTGTATGCGTTTGTATAAAAGTAATTGTGGTGAAATGCATGCGAATTTAAGTTTTTCCTTTTTTATTATTTTATTTTTATTTTTATTTTTTTTTTTCTTTTTTTTAATTAATTTGACATTTCAACGAACTTTTTTTTTCAATTCTTTTCAATTAGAGCCATATATAAAAGAGAGTAAAAAAAAGAAAATATTGGGAGAATTGTTGAAAAGCTCTCATATGGAAATGGACACAAGTGCACGTATTTGCACTTAATGATACATCAATTTAATGATTGCAATTTACACAGAAATGCATATAACTTCAATGTTTTTTAATAAAAAAAAAAATTTATTTTCGTAATTTAAAGTTTTTGTCCTTTCTCCTTATTTTCACTTTTATTTTTATTTAAGTTAGATATATAATAAAATTAAAAATCACTAAAGGTAGTGCGCTAAGCTTAGCTTAAGCATAGTTGCAGTAAACGTAAAGCTTTAGCCAGTTATAATAGTATGTGTAAATTTGCGACAAAGAAATAAATTTTTTTTTTTTTTTTTTTTTTTCTTTAAGTGAAGCACGCACATGAAGCGAGCTAAATATCTTTTCAATTCAGATGATGTCGCTTGTTGGATTCATCATTGCAAATCAATAAGTTTCCGAACTTGTAAATTGACAGATTATGTAATTCGCAAAGAGAGCTCTATAAGATAATCCTGAGGGTTTTAGACAGCGGGAAATCTTAACCCAATCGAAACACGATGTACGATAACATGTTGAGGCACAATGAACTTGAATTTCTTAAATATTTCACATACGGACTGTGCGTAATGCTTGTGTAATGTGTTTCTTTGGCTGGATGAATGATTTTAAACTGTAAACAAAGCGAGTACCACGCATTCGTTATAACAATACATGACACAAATCGACCAATTCAACCATTTTTGCATTCTGCATTTGTGTGTGTGTGTGTGTGTGTATTTGAGGAGATCGAGAACGATTATTAAAAAAAAAAATATCAACAAAATTTCAGTAAGCAATTATCTCACACTATTCATAGTTTCATTGATGATATAACGCGCGAACAATAAGATAACTAATCTGACGAGTCTATAATGCTATAATTTGTCTTGTTCTGCATTGAAAACAATTTAGCAGCTTGCAGAATCCAGTCGATGCACGGTAAAGGAATTAGGTTGGTTGCATTTTATTAGAATACACGGCCTAGATACGAGTTCAATTGGAGTAAGCCTTTCGTTTTGTCAGTTTACTTATATTTCTTTTCAAATTGTGAGAAAGAAACCTTGTTCTATGTTTGTAATGTAATCCGGTTCTGTCAATAGCCAACAAACTGGATGCTTAACAGGTTATCATATTAGATGGCTAACGACGATCATAGATGTAAAAGCAATTATTGCAAACATTAAGACTCCGTTGTAAGAGATTTTCTCGGATTTATCAAAAAGATTCGGATAAAAATCTCAATTCGAAAAATGTTCTTCGAAAATTGAGGATTTCTTATACACGTTCATAATGCTGAAACTTAATCTATATCAGAGAATATCACAGAAGTTTTTTTTCTTTTTTTTTTTGTTATTATTTTGATAAAGTTTTTTAATCAAAAAGCTTTAAAATATACATAAGCAGAGATTTCGCAACTAAAACATATGAGTAATAAAAGTAAATTACCCTATATTGTTGTTACTTTGTATTAAAAAAGAAAGACAGAAGTTGTAAAAAATACAAACATATATATATATATATATATAGAGGACAAACGAGATATATATGTGCACATATACCGTGCAAGTACGTGGACCCATATGGATGCCTCTGTATGCTATATATAAAATATAAGCTTTGTATGTTAAGCACATAAACAACAAAACAATATCTTTATGTACCTACAACACAACTACAAACATATCGTTATAAATATGGAGCAGTAGACAATACGCAAATGTACTCTGGATGCTGGCCTGTATTGTTATTATGCGCGTTTATATATATATATATATATATATATATATATTAGTTGTGCGTACTCGTGTTTGTATGCATTTAAGTCACTGGGCTAATGAAGAATTATTGCACAACAAGGATAGCCAGGCATTAGCTTCATAACAGCATGTAACTGTAAAAGCAACCAACAACAATAACAACTAACACAATAACATAACTTAATACAATACGCAAACCTACGTTCAATGGGTTTGTGCTATGTAAGAGAAACAGAAACATTTTAATAAATTTCTCGTTTTCTGAAGATTTTGTTTTCCGCTTTTTGTCGCTCCACCACCAACATGTACCTGAACAACATCGCATATAAATTACCTTTTAGTCCGTTTTTTTGCTTTTTTTCTTCGTTTTTAAAAACGAATTTTAATTGATTTTTACACATCTTCACACAAACACAAAATTGCAAAATATCAATTTAAAACTTTCTCTCTTCACTTATTGTAAATTTATAAAATAACGAATATTTACGCACACACACGTGTGTGTGTGTGTGTGTAATTTTCGTTTTATTTTCTTCACAAGTCACTAAAGGTACATTTCGTGTCCCCACTAAGCGATCTGATCACAAATATCCAAAGTCGAAAAGTCGGCACCAGATTTCCTTAAACTACACTCATTGCTCTGTTGGCAAAGAGATAGATTCAGAGTTGCCGACAGAGAAAGAGATAACGAGTATGAATTTTTTTTTTTTTTTTTTTTTTTGCAGCACTGCTCGCAAAAGCCGAATTTCGAATCCATTACGGGTGGGTATAAGACTAATCGATAATATAGAACAGACGAGTGGCTCTTCAACGGCCAACTAATTACCTGATTAATTAGTTGCCTTTTCAAGCCACGATACTAGCTGATCGATCAATCGCTACTCGACTATTAACGGTATTAATTGGTTTCGCGGACTATATTCGTTCATCCATAGGTGAGCTTGCAAGCCGTGCCGCAACGCGTGATCGCTCTCTATACATATGATAAATCGAATCAGAACCATTAGCGTGGATTGGATGGCGTCGTAGAAAAAAGTTATATGCGAAAAGCAACAATCGAATCAAATTTGGAGATGTTTTCGATTTTTGTTGTTGATAATTTTTTCATATCATATTTAACATGGAATAATGGAAGAAGGTAGTCAACATTTTCGTCGACCCCGGCCCACCAATTAAATAACCTATACCGCTTCGCTTAGTAGCGTTATTTATAAAACTGTCTCTTTCCAAATAAGCGGTTATATGGTAAACGGTCGAAAACGTGGTCCGACCGGAACTATTTTCAATGACCAAAACTTTCCGGGATATGAAATTTGATCAAATTATCTCAAAACGAGCCGCAAACTGTTGTATGAACACAAACATACAAGACGGTTAGACAAGCTTAGCCCGATTCAAAAAGTAATTCTGACTCGATCGATGTAATAAAAGTCTTGTCTATGTCAACGACTATATATTATAGGATCCATCATTGCTCATAGGCCTACTTATATAGTTAGAGGAAATTGAAACTCTTGCGTGTAATTGTACAGTTAGATGTGTATTCTCCTTGAGGCGGCATGATCGTATCTCGAGTTGTGTTCTACATTGTCTTGGTTGGTTGTTCTTTCGTCAATTTCATTATGACATTGGCCTACGTCAGGAGCTGGAAGAGATGTAACTCTTTCATTTTAGTGGGTCGGCTCGCCATAACCTTCTGTTGATTCCTCGAGTTACGTACTCTTTGGCCAACGCCTAATTCTTTACCTAGGGAGTTACGAAAATTTATCTTTGCTCTTAAACTCACTCACACGCGTAGGCTTCGCCGCTAATAATGAGAGATTAGGTAGTTGCTTGGTAGTGCGTGTTACTTCCTTCTTTACTGGTTACCTAGTTACCTCCTTGGTTCCTGTTTCCTTTTATTGTTCACCTTCTATTTTTTTCTTTCTTGTTCTCTTTAACTTAAATGTTCCCTTCTTCTCATTTAGATTTTTTATTACACCTATGGTACACATTCTATACTGTTATAATAGGCCTTACGGGCATCGGGGACTTAAGAGGGTTTACGCATCAATTAATGAATAAATCTAGTGAGAATCTTGCGAGAGAAGATGTCATTTTAAATTTCGGATCATTTTCTAACTGCCAACGTACAACTGTCACCGTTGAGATGACATTTGTCAAACTAAAACTAGAACATTTTTGGACATATTCGCTGCACACTCACACGAAAATGCAAATATACGAACAAGTTAATGATTTTTACGAATGATGGTAGTCTCCTTTTCATCGTCTTAGTTATGTAAACAGGGAAAATTGCCGCTTATACAGTCCCTAACCGCACATAAGAAAACTATCTAAAAACATATGAAAGTTCGGGTACGATTGCAAAGATGGTAGTGTGATTTAAACATACTTAGTTGATCCGATTTTCATTTGGAACTAGGTCGGCTAACTTTTGTTGCTATTGGAAATCGATGCCATGGACATGGAGGAGGCGGTATAATTTGACACAAAGTTTCTGAAACAATTCGGAAATGTAGCTCAACGTTCCGAATGGGTTTTGCATTTCCACCACCCATTCCGTGAATATGTAATCGCGTGGCTGACTTACCGCTACAAAAATTGTCTACAAGTTAGTACCGTATACGTTATGCTATATGCAGGCCATGAGATGCTGAGATTTAATCAATCTTTTTATACCATGATAGTTGGGTGAGTTAATGTCAAAATCTTTGATTTTTTTGATTGATTGATTTTACTCTAACGGTTAAGTATAATTAAAGCACTTACCATCCTCCTTGTCTGGTTAGGGTGAAACCGAAACGTGAATCGCGATCAACAGATACACGGATACCGACGATGCCTAAGCCTTGCGGTGTGATTACTTGACCACGCATCACCGAAACCCGGCTACATTTTTTTTTGTTTTGATAAAAGTGGGAAAGAAATGTAAGAAAGAGATAAAAGTTAATTTTTTAATTAAAATTTTTTACAAAAGTTTTGTGTTTTTAAATAATAATAATATTAATAATAATAATAATCATAATAATAATAATAATAATAATAATAATAATAACAGAGAAAATAATTTGATGCATAAAATAAATTGAAGTGAATTTGTGTTTATTTCTTGAAAAGATGATTTTATGAATGCTTTTGTAATTATGTAAAAAAGATTTTGATAAAAAAAGTTCTTTTTTTCTAACTATTAAAATTTGATTTAAATTTGTTTTTTTTTTTTTTTTAATTTAATTTTCATGTTTATTTTTTACAAGGTAATGCAACTAATTTCAAGATTTATAAAAAAAAATATATCCATCTATGTACTAAAAATTGTGCCTTATGTACAATTGTTTGGTGTATTTAACGATAAAATATTTAAAAAGTATTTTAGAAAAATCTGTTTTTTAAAAATTGCTATTTTCGTCTAAATTATAAATAAAACAAAAAAGAAATAAAAAAAAAAATTCTCAATTAATTCGCTATTTATCATTCCGACTCTATACATAATCTCCAGAACAATGAATAGCTGCGAGAGTGTAATTATGTTCATCTGCTTTACCCTGTAAAGCTATTCTCCATTGAAAAATCCATAAAGCCATAGTGACTTTTTAAATTACATCGAAATTAATGGTCATTTATACTTTTGCCCAGATTAATATAAATAGAAGCTGTGGAGTTCTAAAGAAAACATCGCTTAATAGTGGCGGCTTCTCGCTTTGTTTCAATTCTATCAAGACGTGGACAGATACAATCGATCTCTTGATGCAAGAACTTAAGAATTAATATGCTCGCTAAACCGATTTTATAGGCTCAACTTGAGCGCAGAAATAATTTCGAAAATAACTTCAGCTTTAATCCTTTCCGTCCTTACGACGTGGACACTGTCGTTCTAGATTTGTCATTTTATATGTGTTTACTTGTCCTGCAACACTTGTAGTACAGGTGCACGATTCAGAATCGGTTCTTGAATTTTTGATTTAACCTTGTCTGTCCGTCTTGTTTTTGTCCTCAAACTACTAGTGGCCATTACTGAGACATGAATGATGAAAGTTTGTACGCGAATGTATTGGGTTGACATTAAAACTTTTCCTCGTCCTAGGGAATAAGATTGCACGGACGAATAAGCAGGCAGTGTGAAAATAACGATTTCCGCGTTTTGAGAACAAATAATTTTTACTTCTATTCATACTTCCGCTTGAAGAAGTTAGCAACAACGATTGTGTGTTCTATGTGCAGGGCTTTTTTTGCTTTCTATTGGTATCTCGAAAGAGCTTCTATCCCAAGTATTTGATTATAGTGCTCTTGCGGCAAATTAATGTGTTAATCATTACCAACTATAGATAAGGTTTGGGGCATCATCATTGATTATGCATGGAGCTGGATGGCATCATTTTTTGTTTTCTCAAATCAAAACAACAAAATTAAACAGAGGCTATCGATAATTTCTCGCTAATGCCTATATGGCGGCAGATTGGTTCGTTTTGGAGCAAGGATCGTTCTATAGTTAGTTGCTTTAATGTAGCAAAACAAATAAGTAACGGAATTTTGATCAAAATCGTGACCTTACTTATCAGCGCATTTATGTTTACGCTTATACATCAAAAATATGAAAAATTAATCTATGTACATCTAAGGCATACGGAATCGTGCAGTTACCGAAACAAGCAGAAAGAGTTAAGTGAAACTTCACTGCATATTCGATAACTGCTCGTCATTTGTATATCAATCGTTTGGTTTAACATTATTGCTCACTTTCAATGTGTTCTCTGAGCTTGTTCTTTTCTGTTGCTTGACAAGAATTATGTAAGAATTATGTGATTCGGAAACGCAGGAACAAGCAAACAAAATCTCACTGCTTTTGTTTGTTGTAATTCAACAATCGCCTGCTCGGTCGTTACTCTACAAGGGCCCAAAAGTAAAACCCTCTGAAAGTATATAATATAATAAGTTCGAGTATAGGCATATCTGTATAACGGAGTACTTTTTTTTCGTGCAGTTTGTTTTTTTTTTTCTGCTTTTCATAAACTCTCACGGTTTGCTTTTGAGCAATTTCTTGCCTGTAAGCTGTAAAGAATCTTTCATCGTAATGCTCTAGATTGTTCAATTGGCATTTTATTTGACGATCGGCGTTAGTGATGACGTCAAGAAGAGACAATTGCCACTGGACGGGCGTAATGTAGTGAAAGGGGCGAATTATCGTGCGCCACCTCCAAGAGTTTGAAAGGTTTTATTACTTTCACGTTTATGAAACTAAAAGCGGAACCGTTTACATTGCTTGCTCGAAAAGTTTTGTTCCCTTGATTGGAATTATATTATTGAACCCGTAAGCTAAGTCTGATGTATCTCAGGCTTTTAAAAAAGTGTTTTAGTTCAAATCTTAAATGCCGGAAAAGCGAATCAGACAGCTACAGTGATGGACGTTGAAAGGCTTGTTTGTTTTTCTACTCACGTTGCCTTTTAATATTACTTTTAATTATTAATTAAAATTTTGTCTCAGTCTGCTTTAACAAAAAATAGCAACTTTTATGCAGATTTCAATTTTAAAAATCATGCATAGAAACATTGAACTTTTTGTTTTTTTTTTTTGTTTTTTTTTTTTTTAAATTAAAAATGCTGCCCTAAGGGCTTAATGATATTTCCTTTTTTTCATATTTTCATTATTAATTTTAAGTTTTTCTAATAAAAAAAAAAAAGAAAAAAATTGTTTGTAACTAATATTTATTATATATTTTATAATTAAAAATTATAAAATTATATAAACATCATAATCGCAATGATGATAATAATAATTATAATGAGCGATGATAAATTTTCTGTACTATGAAACAAAATCTAAAACGTGACACTTTTCAACATAATTATATAACAAACAATCAGTTTTGGCCTGATAAATCCTCATCACACTAAAACAAAAAAAAAAAAAACAAAAAAAACATGTAAACTTTCAACTCTGTGAAAACAATAACAAAAACAATAACTTTTGAAAAATATTCGAGATTTCAATATTGATATTAAAAAACAGCAAAAAAAAATTAAACTTTTAGCCTTAAAGCACGTACATTAGCGGGTCATAAAAGTTATGAGCACGTACAGAATTATGTCAAAAGTGCAGTTAATATTAAAAATGAAAAGGCGAGCAGAAGAGACCGGTTTTTTTTTTTGTTTTTTTTTTTTTTTTGGGGTGAAACACCGTCGAAAAATAAATGTTGAAAATTGTTTGATAGAGAGAAAAAAAAAAAAAAAAAAAGAAAAAAAACACCGCATAATGTTTTGATAAGCCTATCTATACGATCGTTGTTATATTGCTAGTAAACTTTTTAAATATTTATAGTTAAGGCCGAAATATAAAATTTATATTAAATTATTTTTCCAATAAAAATTTATAGCATTTTTTATGCACATTCACTTAGTTAGTGGAGAAGTGCGCACAAATAGCACATAGCACATAACACGTCACTTCATATTCCTAACGTTGAAGGCATTGTTTTTAACTGTGATTATCTATATTATTGTGAAATTTACCATAATTTTATGGCCTTTTTTCCTTTTTGAGGATTTTGCTTTATGATCCCTCCTTTCGAACATATGTTGCTCGATGGTCGTATTTGTTATTCGACTATCATTATATTATACTTGACTGCTCTTAAATTGATTACACTTGTTATTGCCATTGCGGTTAGGGTATATGTAATGCCCCTAAACATATGTTGTGTTTTTCTTTTATTACAAAAATATGCTCTTTTTATTTTGCCTTCTTCTTGGTGTTAAATTTTTGCTGATAATGACATCAGCAGGCAATATTTTGTGGTTTCTTTTTCTCGGTGATATAGTTTCAAAAAATATCCATTCGAGTGTATAGTTAAGTTTGTTGTAGGTCGTAAAAATCTCGAAATTCTTTTTCTATGGCCAGTGTGCAGATGTTGTTGTTGCCATGAGCCGCAAAGTGTTGTACAAGCTTTCTCTTCTCTTTTTTTCGCTTTTTTTTTTCATTTTTTTTTTTCATTTTTTTTTTCTTTCTTTGTGCATATGTACGTTTTTGAACGAGGAGAACTTCTGCTACCAGCCATATTTGCAAAGTCTAAGCATAGGAGAGCATGCTGTGCTCGTGTTTAAACAAGAAACGATAAAAAAAAAAAGCCATATTGAACCTGAAGTAGAGGAATGACAACAATATTGACAACAGCCTACGTATACAGTAATAATATGGAATGGAAAGTTGTTGTAACGTTATTCGTTTGCTATTGTTTCTTCATATATCATGATGTCACTGTTACCGTTAACGACGGTAACGACGGTTATTGAATGAGAAAAGCTATTATTTTGCATTCAACACCGAAAAGTATTATATCAATTTTATCGCTTCCCGTATATCAATCGCAGAAATATGCTTTAGAGATTTTCATTGAAATCCATATATACCTGAGATTCATTTCATTTTATATGTATACATACATACGTTAATTGACACTTTACATTTAAGATGATGAGCCATGCAAAACAAGGAAGAAAGAAAAAAGAAATACTTCTATAAAGTATTTTTGCACATAACTTATAGCCTTGGGGTTGCGGCATAACCTACTATGATAGCCTAATTATGACTGGCTTGTGACGGCAGTTACAGCAAATGCTTGATCATAACATTTATTCATTTCCCAGTCAGCGACGGCATTGCATTTCTCTCTTTCTCCCTCACCATTACCGTATCGATACCACTAGATGGCCAAAATCAACTAATAAAAAAAAAAGAAAAAAATGCTGGAATCATTTCACCTACAACAGCCATGAAGCAGTTTATGTTCTAAAAATATGGCTTCACTTTGACCGGCCGTCAAGTTGTACAAAAATTCAAATGTAGATAATGCGTTCGAGAAGACGGACTGATATAATCTATGCTTTACTCTACGATC